ATATCATGAGCTATAACTTTGCTCACAGATGTGTGGCACTGTATCAAGTGATCTCTGGCAATCCGTGTATACCATAATTAACAGCACGACCTTCATTGAGCCTTTCTGGTAGTTAGGCACTGATACCCCTTTAGAAATGCTGAGTCTTCCTAATCAACCACCTTTCTCCAAGTAATCACTCAGTTCGTCCTGAATAATCGTTTCTAGAATCTTCCCCATGATCAAAGTCGAACTGTCAGGAATTACTGGGAATGTCCTTACAAACTTTCTTGAACAAAACCGTGATGTTTACAATTCTCCAGACTTCTGGCACCTCCCCCCGAGCCCAGGGGAGACTGAAAGATTAGGCCAGTGTACCCTGCAGTTTCCACTCTCACTTCCTTCAGATTCCATGGACACATCTTGTCCTGTCCTGGAGCCTTGTTAGCTTTAAATAGTCACAGTCCCTCCAACACTTATTCCTTATCAGTGTCCTGCCCAGTGACTGAGTTCCCTCCTCTGGTGACCTGGGCAGCTTCCTCTCTGCTAAAGCCAGATGCAACCTTTTCATTTAACACCTCAGCCATGCCCTCTGCCCCAATCTATAAATCCGTGTTTTGGTCTCTAACTGGCCCCTATTCTTCCCTTACATACTCTTCTACAATGTATATGCTTACAGAAGACTTTGGTACACCCTCTTGTGTTGGCTGCCAGTCTTTTCTCAAAATCTCTCTTTGCTCCTTGAATATGATTTTTTCACCTTCCCATGAACCTTCCTGCTGGTTCTCTGTTGTATTTTCAGTCTGACACTTGTCTTGAGTACATTATTCTTACTTATTTGCTTTGTCATCCAGGGAGCTCTGGTTTTATGTGTCCTACCTTTCCCAGTTGTGATAACACATGAACCACCTGCTCTCTGAAGGGAGCCCATTGTTCAGTGGCAGGTTGTTTGTTTGAGCCTTTTGTTCCAGTCTAACCTGCAGCTCCATCATTGTCCTACTGAAGTCCGCTTCTCTGCCAGTTGTCTTTCCTCACTGCACATTAACTCTTGTCATTCTCCACTATCACCCTGAACCCTACCTTATAATGATTGTTGTTTTCTAAGTGTTCCCTGACTGACTTTTGATCCACCTATTCCATCTGATTTCCTCTTATTCCACCTGACAGAGCATCCTTTCTTGTTGGCCTGGTGCTGAAAAATGCCACTGATGGTTTTATGTTTTATTCCCATACTCACAGGGTTATGGCAGGTACAGTTTGATCCTCTCGCAACCTCCAATGACGTCTTTTACAAGGAGGATGGGAGTTCTGTCCAGGTTGCAATGATGCAGCATCCCAAATACCCACTCAGTAGTTTCCACGACGATGATCTACAGATTGACGTAAGTGCTGCTTCCCACAGTGACTCGGTTTCCACTTGTATCCCGTTCAACCATCAACCTCTGACCCTGTTGAATAGAACAGGGACTCTCCCCTGTTCCCGCTGTCCCTTGATCCGATTCCAGGCACAACACTCCTCTCTTGTGGTTCCTCAGCGTTATTCCTTCTCTGGCTGTGACTGGCGAGGGCCCTGCTAATGCCAATCCCCTGCTGGCTTGGAGCTAGGATTCCAGCTGAGTCCATGTACAAAACTCAGCAGAGGTTAGTCCGAGTGGAGCTGGCCACTCTCAAGGTGCAAATTATTGACAGACAGTAAAAGAAAAGACTTGCATTTCTATCGCACATCTCTTGGCACCTTCACAGCATGATGCAGAGAGGCCATTTGGTCCATTGTGCCCATGCTGACTCTTTGGGAAAGTGTTCCCCTCAGCTCTGTATAATTGTCCTATTAAATGTATTAATCAGAGAAGAAACAGGCTGGAACATTTAAGTGCCCCCCTTCTGTTCCTGTTGTTTAACACTCTCCAGATATTCCAAAACACTCACAGCCAATGAAGTGCACTTACTCTGCAATGTCAGAAGCATGGCAGTCAATGTGCAAACAGCAAGATCCCAAATTAGCAATGAGATAAACCATCAGGTCTTATGCTGCTTGGGATGTCGGGTCAGGGATAAGTACTGGGGAGACTCCCTTTCTCTTCCTTGGATGGTGTTATGGGATCATTTACATCCACTCAAAGGCAGACAGGGCTCTCAGGTAAAGCACTGCACCTGTGGCACAGTCACATTCTCCCAGTTCTACATGGATGGTGTCAGATAGGTTCTAGACTCAGATCTATGATGCAAATCCCAGAACCAATGAGTTGGGGATTTGATTGTCTGAGATACAGAATTGAAAAATGGCTCTGTCACTGAGAACTTTTTAATGTTCTGCAACTCAACCAATCAGAGGGCTGTTGCTGGATAGGATTTCCTTAGCTCAAAGAATTCTTGGCGTTGTTTAGTCTCAGACTCTCTCTCTCACTGCTTCAAAACATGACATTATATGTGACAGCTCCGAAACCAAGGCAGCACTTGATCTTTAAACTCTCTCAGCGATAGCAGTCTGACTTCCAATTCCGTTTATAGCCCAATAAGAAACAACATGGCTGATTGACACTCTGTTCTGAAGAAGGGTCACTGAACCTGAAATGTTAACTCTGCTTTCTCTCCACAGATGCTGCCAGACCTGCTGAATTTCTCCAGGAGTTTCTGATTTTGTCACTGATTTAGACAATAGCTTTGTCAGCTCTGTTAGTCCCACTAACAACTGTCTTAGAACTAACTGCAGTCGTTGCCTTAAGGTTCCTGAATAGGAAAGCAGAATGAGACTGAGATGTGTCTTTGGTTTAGCCTGAGTCAGGTGATCGGGCCTGGAGCAGTGATTTAAAGTTACTGTCTGTTCAGAATTATCCTGGAGTCTCAGCTAATTAAAGATTCATCTGCACGGCCTGATTGTAAACAGACCAAGGGGAAAATCACTGAGCAACAGTTTGACGTTTTCATCAGCTTTGATTAAGCTTGTTTGTTCATTGCTGATCGATTGCAGGCTGGAACAAAGTCTAAAATTGGTTTGTGGTCAGAGGTCATTGATAAAGTCTCCAGGATAAGTCCGAGCACGGTTAGTAAACCAGAACCAATCAGAACTCTGCCAGTTATGTCGGGGCATAGGCCGAGGTGGGATTCCTGATTCCAGCTGCTACCCAGTGATTCCATTTGTTATTGGTGATGGAGTGCAGCTGGAAGCTGATAAAACCTATCAGGAATTTTTTAGAATACAATCCTTACAGTGTGGAAACAGGCTATTCAGCCCAAAACATCCACACTGACTCTTCAAGGAGCATCCTGCCCAGACCCACCCTGTAAGTCCCATGGCTAATCCACCCTAACCTGCACCTCTTTGTACTGTGGGAGGAAACCGGAGCAAACCCACGCAGACACGGGGAGAACGTGCAAACTCCACACAGACAGTCACCCAAGGGTGGAATTGAACCTGGGTCCCTGGTGCTGTGAGGCAGCAGTGCTAACCACTGAGCTATCCAGGGAGAGGTTAGAATGTGGAAACAGCTCCCACTGAGAACAATTAAGCTACTTTGATATTTTCAATAGGAAATCAGACAGGTACCCGAGAGAAAAGGGAATAGAAAGATTTATTCAAAGATTGCGATGAGGGAGATAACAATCAGAAGAGACTCATGTGAAGTGTAAACACCAGGATGAAGTATTTGGGCCAAGGAGCCTGTATCTCTGTTGTATGTTCAACGTGACTCTGTCTAACTGTTTATAATCCTGCAAACAGCAACTGGGACAGGATCATTCATGCACTTCTTCAAAGGAGAGGTCAAGCTGGAATGAAGGGTTTGGGAGTGGGGACTGGAGCTGAAATTGGAGGCTGGTATGTGTTCTCTCTAGTCCGCATGGTTTATATCATTGTTCCTGTAGGTTGCCAGATTATCCTTCAAACAAAACATGAGCTTTATTGTTGTGAAACCGATGGGGACGTGGAAACTCGACAACGTTGTGTCCAAACTGAACATCACGGATCTACTGGCCCGGATTTTCAAGGCTCGTCCAATGCCAGTCAAGATCCCAAAACTCAACATCAACTTTGATGTTGAACTAAACCAAGCCTTGAAGAAACTTGGTAGGTCATTCATTCCCCAACTTCACCCCATTCCCCAACTTCACCCCATTCCCCAACTTCACAACATTCCCCAACTTCACCCCATTCCCCAATTTCACCCCATTCCCCAACTACACCCCTTTCCCCACTTTCACCCCATTCCCCAATTTCACCCCATTCCCCAACTTCACCCCATCCCCCACTTTCACCCCATTTCCCACTTTCACCCCATTCCCCAACTTCACCCCATCCCCCACTTTCACCCCATTTCCCACTTTCACCCCATTCCCCAACTTC